GCGGCAAACAGGCAGGTCAAAGTTCGTGCGTCCAGCACGGCTATAATACGAGGCAAGCGGCAAGACTGAACAACGCAAGATCGGCAAGTGCAGCAACTACGCTACTCTGATGATGGAAACGAGGAAGTTTCCGAAACGTCAGTTTGAATACAATATGATCCATGAATTCGCCCTCTCTTCTTCTTCGTCTTCTTCGGGAGATGATGAACGCGATATATATATATATATATATATATATATATTTCGAAAGAAATAAGCTCTTTGGGAAAGATAACACAATTTAGGCAGTATGCTATTACCGCCAAAGACAAGGGAGCCTGGAATGGGCTTTTCTGCCTTATTAGCCCACGTCCAGTAGTTAGAGGCGTTGGAATTCTGACTAATAGAAATGGCCATTCCAGTCTCCCTTGTCTTTGTCGGTAATGCCATTCTGCCTATATCATGCGCCGCTCTGCGGCTGCTGGTTGGGTTCGAGAGACCGCCCGTAAGACACAATGGAACTAGTGGGTTTTGTAAGAACGATCGGTGAGCGCCCCCTATCAGCATCATAACGCAGTTTATAAATTTTCTAATTTTGTTCCCCAAGTCGTTCTCAGACGTGAAGCAATTGTGCAAAACAGTTGAAATTAAAACATGCCGAAGAATCAATATTGCCCTGTCATTCCTACTAGTTAGCGATTACTGTGGGCTGACAGCATGATCTGATTGGCTAACGCCTTTTCCACTTTTCTTGAGGCTGTTGTACTAGCATCAATTTCTATGTGTCGATGGATGCATGAGTTACCAGAATAAATGGCTCCTAAAGACTCGCGTTCCTTCTTGAATCAGCAGGCACCTATAATGCGAATCTTGTTCCACGCAGATTTGTGTCCACTTGCCTTCTTACTGCCAACTGATGTTCGTGTATGCGTGCAGGGACAGATTTCCCAGTTTGACAACAGTAAACCGTATTACAAGCGCCGCATCATATAGACGACTTCCTCCTTATCTAAATAGCCAACGCTATCCTTAGGGTGTTTAGACTGGTTACGAAGTGTAGTCGTCGATTTGTGCGCCATCTGTATTTGGTGTTTCCCTAGGTGTCTTTCAACTAGTTCGGACGTATTTTTAATGTGCGGAGGTGTTCGCCTATTTTTTTGGTTTGGGCGCCTGATCGGAACAATCCACTTCCTTGTCTTTTTCCTTTAACCCCTGTTGTCCATACATCGGTGTACAAAATCTCTTGGATACCCATTTTCCCAAAATATCACTTAATCTTATTTTCTTTCCCATATTTTCAAGCTTATTTTACGGAATATGCACAAAAATATACTTCTGTGAACTCATTTGGTAATGAATTAGTTTTCCTCGAATTTTATGCC